AAAGCCGGAAGTGGTGCTGTGGCTCAAGTGGTAGAGCGCTAGCCTTGAGCTGAAGAGCTGAGAGACAGCGCCCAGGCCCAGAGTTCAAGCCCCACGACTAGACCCTCCACCCCCCCCAAAAAAAAAATTGGAACATCTCCTGTTCCTTAACGTTAAAAATACGCTTAAAGAAGACAATGTATTTGGCCTGAAAGTCTGAAGCATAGGTATTTTATTTCAAAACAACTTGAATTTTACTTACTTTAATTTTTCAAAACTCTCAGGCTCTAAACTCCATATTTCTTCTACTTGGGCCCCACGGCAACCTGAAAAAAAAAATAATTTCTTTAGAAACTAACTCACTTTTTCCTTTACCACCAACTAAAAAAGCCTCGAAGGGTCAACAAATGCAGCAGAGATACTCACTAGACACTACGTTGAAAAGTATACAACTTGGGGTGGAGGCCAGGAGGGAAAAACTGGGAGATAGTGAGGGAAGGGAGGATACTGTTCAAAAAATATACTCATTACCTGACCTATGTAACTATAACCCCCCTCTGTACACCACCTTTACAACAATAAATAAGCCAGACAGGTACACAAATTCATATGAGAAAAAGTGATAAAGCTCATGGCCAAATTCTATTACTTCTCATTACATTATTCTATTATTCACAATCCTATTGTTTCCATTACATTAGCACCCTATGACTGTTCCTTTTCTCTCTCAATTCTAGTGTCTTCCTCCTCTATTGTTTCCCCTATCCTATCCTTGCCCTCTTTTAAAAATTAACAATGTTGTTAAGAATAGGGAAGGCCCAGCTTCTGCACCTCCCACAACCTCATGTTTTTAGCCCATGGTACAAATAAATGATTTTTGCTGGTGATCTGACTATACCAGAAAACTGGATTGACAGCCCTCAAACAACCTCTTTTAAAACAAGGCCACACAGTTTTGAGACCTGAACTGGCAGGTCTAAAATGGACACATTATTAGTTTGTATTTTCTTTTTTTGCTACTACAAGTTTGAACTCAGGATCTCGCGCCTCCTGGCTGGCACTCTACCACTTTCCACGGCTGGAACCATGCCTTCCATCTCTGCTTTTTGCAAGCTATTATGGAGATGGAATCTAGTGAACTTTTCTGTTCAGACTGGCTTCAAACCACCATCCCACAGATCTCAGCTTTCTGAGTAGGTAGGATTACAGGCATGAGCCTCCAGTGCCTAGCTTGACCCTAATTTCTACTCCTCAACTGGTACTCCAGATTTCCTTTCTCAAGTCAAAGCAGAGTCAGCAAAATTACTATGCATCCTGCTGTACCTAGAGCCAAGAAAAAAAAGAGAAAAATACCTGACCTCCTATAAGGAGATGAACAGATGTGATATTAACTTGTCAGGCAGGTCAGGCTAATTAGTGTGAGGGAATGACCTATTTGTTTGGAAAGGAAGTACAGGAATTGTTAGGAGACATTTTTCAATGGATGGCTTTTTCTGTCCTTCTGAGAGGAATGACTGGCTTTGCTTGGGACTGTTTTCAAGGATGTTCAGATAGTTCGGAAGTGGCACTTGTCTAGAAGAATAGAGATGTTTACCTGGAGACAAAGGTTGAGTAGGTTTGCTAAGACTGGGAGCTTCCTAAACTCAGAATTTCTCAGCTATGACACAGAATCACTTTGTGTAAATACAGTATCTACCTGGGTCCATTTCCTTCCCCCCCTTGGAGAACAAGGGGTTGATGCAAACATGAGTGCCCCCCTGACCCTGTGCTGTATAATAGGATCCTTTATCTTTAAAGCAGAAGTTGTCCAGCAGCATCTTTGAAATTGGCAAACCAACTTGTTAGCTGGCAAGCATCCTAAGTTGTCAAATTTACCCTAACTTGTATTTCCTATTCTTTTACATCTGTAGAATCTGCAATGATGTTACCTCTCCCATTCCTATGTTTTCTTTTTTTTGATCTGATTAATCTGGCTAGAGGTTCACCAAATCTTCTCAAAGAAATCTTAATTTTCTATATTTTCTCTGTTTCAATAACTTTAATTCTTATTTTTATTATTACTTCTTCCTACCTGCTTAACCTAGGTTTAATGTGTTCTTCGTTCTCATTCTTTAAAAAGAAATTTGAGCCTTTTGTCTATGAGGGGGAAAACTAGTCCTCATTACTTCCCCTTAGTGAAAAGTTTATAATTCTATCTTTATTAATAAACTATCAGTTTGTTTTGGCACATGTATGTATTCTGTGAGTGTGCATCATAATTAAAGCATAAACGTTTTGTCAGCTTCTTAGTTTAAAAAAGAACTTTTAAGCTGCTGCTAGTGGCTCATGTGTGTAATACTAGCTACTCAGAAGGCTGAGATCTGAAGACTACAGTTCAAAACCAGCCCAGGCAGGAAAATCCCTGATACTCTTATCTCTTACAATTAACCACAAGAAAAGCAGAAGTGGAACTGTGGCTCAAAGTGGTAGAGTGCTTTCTTTGAGTATAAGAGCTTAGGGACAGCATGTAGGACCTGAGTTCAAGCCCCCAACGGGGAAACTTTTTTTTTTTACTTCAAAAGGTTCTTTTGGGTTTTTTGGAACTGAATAGAAATAAGAAATGGAGGGGCTGGGAAGGTGATTCAGTGGTAGAGTGCTTGCCTTGCATGCATGAGGCCCACATAAGCAAAAAGCCGGAAGTGGCGCTGTGGCTCAAGTGATAGAGCTCTGGCCTTGAGCTGAAGAGCTGAGGGACAGCGCCCAGGCCCAGAGTTCAGGCCCCACGACGGGACCCAAAAAAAAAAAGAAAGAAAAACAAAAGAAATGGAAATGATTGGAGTAAGCTGATTTGTTTTTTTCTTTCAAGTATCTGATTATATGCAACTACAAACAGTTAACATTTTTGCAAAGGTCTTTTCCTAATGGAGCCAATTCATTTGCAGCTATTGTTTTATTTATAATACATTTAGATGCCCAAAATGCTTTTATGTATTACTGTCTTATAACTTTACTTACATCATTTTCTTTTCTTGTTTTTGTCAGTCTTGGGGTTTGAACTTAGGGCCTGGGCAGTGACTCTCAACTTTGGTTCTCAAGGTTAGTGCTCTACCACTTTGAGCAACAGCTCTACTTCCACTTTGGGGTTGGTTCACTGGAGATAAGAGTCTCACAGATTTTCCTGCCCAGGCTGGCTTTGAACCGAGATCCTCAAGTCTCAGCCTCCAAAGTAGCTAGGTTTATAGGGATAACCTAAATCATTTTCAAGACCTAAGTCTTCTGTACATATCAAATTGCAAAACTAGCTGACAATAGAATGATGGTTTTTTTGGGGGGTTGCTGTAGTTTTTGTCAATCCTGGGGCTTCAACTCAAAGACCTTGGGGGCTGTCTCTGAGCTTCTTTTGCTCAAGGCTAGTACTCTACCACTAGAGAATCCTTGTTTCTGGCTTTTTCTGATTAGTTCGTTGGAGTTAAGAGTCTCACTTATTTTTGCTGTTCCTGCTGGCTTTATACTGTGATCCTCAAATCTCAGCCTCCTGAGTAGCTAGGATTACAAGTGACCCACCAACTTTAAAATAAACCTATTGCTACAATACTTGCAAAGGCCAACTTTTAAAATATCGTTAACAGCTAAGGTTTTGATTAAACCTAGAACTATCTCAAACTTAGTTTATGTGCAAAATTGACCCCAAAATTGAACCTGTTCTTGTAACTTTACATTACCAGCCACCCTGGATAGAAACCAGAGTCATTTTCACTTCTTTTTCCCCACATCCACTCAGCAGTCCTGTTGATTTCACTTTCCTTTGATGTAGGAGAAATATACTACTACTCAACCTCTACTGGAAGGTTGGCAGCCCTGAGAACTCCTTCTTCAATGTAGCATGCTATGGATGTATTCCTGCTCCAAAAGCAAGGAGAGGCATTTCCACATGCAAGATGAATGAAACACCGCAAAGTACTGACTCTTCCTTCTCCTCTCCACTGCCCTGTCGTCAAGCCAGGCACAGAGACATCTCGTCGGTGAAGTGACAAGCTCCTCCCCCCTTCCACTCACTCAAGGCACACCACACCCATTAGCACATCCTGATTTCCGAAGCCACCTCATTTCATTAAGTACCCAGTGACAACCCGGCGATCCAAAGGATGCAACATGGCCTCAGTTTACCCTTTCAACTTCAGATCCAATTACTCTTCCTCACCGTGACAGCTTTTTTAATCTATTGCTTCCTAAACTGTTTGTGTGTAACCAACAGCACTACAGTTTACGCTTTTCCTTTTTGCCCGTGTGCCTCCAGACCTGAATTCTTTTGAGTATTTTCTGCACCCAGATCTGTCAGTTCTTCAAAGCATTATTCACAATAAAAATGCCGAAATCCTTAACCGTGGGCCTGAGGCGAGCCACACGTAGTAAACGTGACCGTAAACGTTCGCGGACGTGCGCCGGGACACCTACAGTAACGTTTGTCACTCCAGGTGGACGTCCGGACAAAATAGCTAAAAACCGGTAACGGAGGGGAGGTGACGAAGACACGCCCCCGGGCGAGGCGGGGCGCGGGAGG